CCTGTCCGAGGCTTTCACTGTTGTGAGCATTTCTGTTGAGGAATGGCGGCGGGGGGGTTGTTTGGTTTTTATTCCCCTCCCATCTGCTGGGTGGTTGCAGCAGGTTTTGGTCTCTTCTGTCGTGCTTTGAGGTTACCCATGAAGCATGTTTTGGGGGGGATCCCCACTCCAGTTGCTAAGCTTGCTTAAACCCTCTTCCACCTCCTCCTCCTCCTCACCAGAACCCCCTTTGTCTGCAACCAGCCCCTGCCCCGGCCCCTGCCTCGCCTTGCCTTGACCCACGGCAATGGCACCCCTGCCCTGCCCTGCTCCCTCCCTCCCTCGCCTCACCTCACCCTGCAGGACGAGTCTCCTTCCCACTGCCCCACCCAGCAGAGAACCCCTGGATCTCCCCCAACCCTGCCTGGCCCCCACAGGCATCCCTCCCCAGGAGCAACATCGAGGTGGCCATGCCCATCCTGGCCATGCCTACCCACACTGCCATGACTACCATAGCCATGCCCACTCAGTGGGCCACGCCCACCCAGCAATGCATAAGTTGGTTTTGGGTTGCAGTTCGGGCACTCGGTCTCTAAAAGGTTCGCCATCAGGGGGTTGGACTAGAAGATCTCCAAGGTCCCTTCCAATTATATTATTATTATTATTATTATTATTATTATTATTATTATTATTATTATTATTATTATTATTATTATTATTATTATTATTATTATTGGAGGAAAAAATCAATTGCCTGCACTAAACTGATGATGCAAATCTGATAGTCAAAAATGCAAAAAAATCTGCAAACTGTAGATAAAAGTGGAGGAGTGAAAAAATAGGACTAAAATATAAAGAGACCAAACTAATGATGGCAGGTACAATAAGCAGCCTTAGAACTGGTAGAGAAGATACTAAAGACAGAAAGATATGGATGGATGGGTGGATGACAGGTTCCTTTTACTGATTCTAAATACCTCTTGATCAAAATGAAGTAACTTTGAACTTCTCCATATGTCTCTCAATTGTAGAAAGAAACATGTATGACACATCGTCCAGATGTTCTGAAGGAACATAACTTACCATTTGTCTAAATAATTCTACTTTTATACCAGCAAGAATTTAATGTTATGTTTGTAGCCATAATTTCCTCCTGCTTCTACCTACGGTACTTTCTTCTTGCCTGACTGTCTGATTTCCATGTACTTTTCTATCATTAACATCTTCACTGTCTTCTATGGGAAACTGTTGCTATTATCAGTTTTATGCCACATGAAATTACACAAGAAAAGTGGTTTATTTTATCTTGTAAATGACAGTGCAATATTAGTAGCACTTAGGAATTACATCTTTGGTAACAGCTGTAATTTGCCATCTCTACTTCTTTTCAGACCTTGATACCAGTAAAATGGGATAACATTTAATTTATAATGCATGCCTGATTAGTTATACACAACTTGTTTGTTCTTAGTAAAACATATATAGAGCTTTTTCAGATGGCTCCCTGGTTCCTATCATATTTACTAAACTGCTGTTTTCAGTGTTTAGCTGATTTGTCCTACATTTTTTTTAATGGTGAGATGAGAACAGATGAATGTGTCAGGCGTGAAAGACCAGGTCCACACATGTTCAGTTTAACTGATTTATTGTTAAAAGCCTATGCACAAGAATCTTCTCACAGGTTAGCAAGTGGTTAGTGTTAGATAAGGGTCAACGGCAGTTAAGTTCATTTATGGCTGGGTAGTGATTCTAGGCTGATCCTTCTTTTCACCACCACCACCACCACCACCATCCCAGCTCTGCCTGTCGTTCTCTTACAGAATGCATAGGAAGCAATTATTTAATCATTTTTTAAAAAAACAAACTCTTCCCAGTTTATTTCTTTCCAAACACTGGTCAGTAATTCCTACCATCAACAAGTCAATATGCTGGTTGAGAGATTATGGAGCTATATTCTCATAGGCATTTTGAACAAGCCACAATCATGTCATAATGTCATGTCAGACAATGCCGGCTGGCGACCCCCAGGGGGAGAGCCTTCTCTGTGGCAGCTCCTGCCCTCTGGAATGACCTGCCCCCCGACCTACGTACAGTTGCGGACCTGCGCCTTTTTCGCCGAGCCCTGAAGGCACATCTATTCCTTGCGGCCGGCCTGGCGTAGTTTGATTATGTTTTAGTGGGGGTTTTGTATGGGGTGTTTTTAGAACAGGCCTGTTATTTAATTTGATTTTAGAACAGAAACTTGTGTATATTTATCGTGGTTTTTAGTATCGCCTGTTCACCGCCCTGAGTCCCGTAAGGGAGATAGGGCGGTATATAAATTTAATAAATAATAATAATA